CCCGGTTTCCCGGTTTTTCGGTTTCCCGGTTTCCCGGTATTCCGGATTCCCGGTTTCCCGGTCTCCAGGTATCCTGAGTTCCCGGTTTCGCGTATGGGCACACACATAGCACTACACACACACACCCGGCACGCAACACTCATCTTCCTGCGTCAAAGGCACATTCAATTCAGTGCTCTGCTCTGTTTATGAGATGTTCCAAAGTTGGCTGTTCTGTTCTGTTCTGCGGGTGCGTTACTTGCCCAGGAACGAGCAAGTGCTGGCATTCACATGAGTGGACGAGGGGCTGCGAGTGGATGATGAGCCTTGTCTTGATTTTCCAACGAAGAATCAGCTGGTCAGAAAGCCGGGTTGCGAATCACCTTACGGAAGATCCTCTTCTAGGTTCCAACCAACAGCATGTGGCATGATGACACGGAACTCCGTCGACATGAAACTCGTCAGCTGCGTTGCTAGCACACTCAGCTGCGTTGCTCACACCCTCAGCTGCGTTGCTAGCACACTCAGCTGCGTTGCTAGCACACTCAGCTGCGTTGCTAGCACACTCAGCTGCGTTGCTCGCACACTCAGCTGCGTTGCTCGCACCCTCAGCTGCGTTGCTAGCACACTCGGCTGCGTTGCTAGCACACTCGGCTGCGTTGCTAGCACACTCGGCTGCGTTGCTAGCATACTCAGCTGCGTTGCTAGCACACTCAGCTGCGTTGCTCGCACACTCAGCTGCGTTGCTCGCACCCTCAGCTGCGTTGCTAGCACACTCGGCTGCGTTGCTAGCACACTCGGCTGCGTTGCTAGCACACTCGGCTGCGTTGCTAGCACACTCGGTTGCGTTGCTAGCACACTCGGCTGCGTTTCTAGCACACTCAGCTGCGTTGCTCACACCCTCAACTGCGTTGCTAGCACACTCAGCTGCGTTTCTTGCACCCTCAGCTGTGTTGCTAGCACACTCAGCTGCGTTGCTAGCACACTCAGCTGCGTTGCTAGCACCCTCAGCTGCGTTGCTAGCACACTCAGCTGCGTTGCTCGCACCCTCAGCTGCGTTGCTAGCTCACTCAGCTGCGTTGCTAGCACACTCAGCTGCGTTGCTAGCACACTCAGCTGCGTTGCTAGCACACTCAGCTGCGTTGCTAGCACACTCGGCTGCGTTGCTAGCACACTCGGCTTCGTTGCTAGCACATTCGGTTGCGTTGCTAGCACACTCGGCTGCGTTGCTAGCACACTCGGCTGCGTTGCTAGCACACTCGGCTGCGTTGCTCGCACACTCGGCTGCGTTGCTAGCACACTCAGCTGCGTTGCTAGCACACTCAGCTGCGTTGCTAGCACACTAAGCTGCGTTGCTAGTGCGGAGAATTCCATTCTAAGGGAGAGCTGAATTGTGTGTGACGCACGGCCAGAGTTTTGACAGTGATTCTGGACAGAATGTTAGCATGACTTAGTAGAATTCGAGCATAGTTTCACTAAGGAAAATTTGATAGAACAAGATTATGGTACAAGGAAAGAGATCACAAATAGCAAGCACAATGAACCCTGGAGAAACGTTCCTCGACGAACGCTCGACTTTTCCGAGTCAGCAACGCCAGGTGAAACAACAAGCATATGTGTCTTTCCCCAGAGTTGGCAGCTTCTCAGGTTGCCAACGTTCAGAGTTGTTTACGTTTTTACTGTTAGTAAAAAAGTGTTTCAGGTTCAGTTTCCTTACTGATTCGAAATCTCCTGGGGAGTACAATTTCCGAAATGCTCTGATTGGTCGAAATTTGCTGTTTCGCGATTGGTCGAAATTCTCGCACATTGCGAATTTCAGAGACAAGTAATTTCGGTTGATCGGAATCGCTCTGCTCGACGATGCCTCTTTCGAGCTTACTTCCGTCGACCAGCGTTTCGTCGAAACGCTGTTTTCTCCAATTCCGTCGACCTGCAAGGCTCGATTTCGACGCCGATTTGCTCCCCTCGACAAGTGCCTTGTCGACGGGTAGTTGCGTAGAGCATAAACAACACTTCAATTTCGACTACTTAATCTTCTCGAAAATCGACCCGTCGAACAGAGATAAAAGTCCCTGAAGTCGCCGATGACCACGAAACGAACACCGTTGTGCTCCGAAAAGCATGGCCAACTTCGCCCAAGCGAGGGCGGGGCCTTTTCTCCTCGACACTCCCCTGCCCAGCTCGAGCTTGGGCCCCCACACACAAGGTCCACCCAGAACCTACTTAATAGAATACAAGGGGATATTTCTCTGGCGTGCACACCTCCGCACGCCGATCACCGCACCAGCCATGTTAGAGGACATGGCACCTACTGCTGCACGTCGTCGTCGTCGCCGACTTCGGCAAGGCGAACCTGACCGACCGCGACAGAGCACCGGTTGAAGGCCGGAAAGTGCAGCCCTTTCGTAAGGAAGTCCGCCGGCTGCTCGGATGTCGGGATGTACTCCAGCGCAATCTTCTTGCGCTTCACCATCTGCTGCAGCCAGGCGTAGCGTCGCTCCATATGCTTGAGATTGCCCTTCAGCCCCAAGCCCTCAGCAACAGCGATGGCGGACTGATTGCCCACGTTCAGAACAGTTGGCGTCCCAGCATCAAGGAGCTGGAACTCGGCGAGGAGGAACCGAAGTCGACGAGCCTCCTTTCCTGCTTCGGTGGCCGCGATGTACTCCGACTCTGTAGAGGACAGAGTTACGCAGTTGATGCGTTGGCTCGTCCAGGAGACAGCTGCGCCGCCGAAGGTGAAAACGTAGCCACTTGTGCTAGTGCGATTCTTCTTGTCGCCGGCGTCGTCCGCGTCCGCGTAGCCGACCAGTTTCAGAGTTTCGGGTCCTCCTCCGAACTCCAGAGCGAAATCGCGCGTGTCGGCAAGATAGGTGAGGCAGCGATCGACCTCGCGCCAGTGCTGATCGCTCCTCACCGTCAGACCAGACCCCAGCTTGCTACACGCGAAAGCAATGTCGGGCCGAGTTGTTGTGGCAGCGAACTGCAGCGAACCGACCTTCTGACGGTACTCCTCCTCTTCGCGCGACTAGAAGTCCTCATCGTCGAAAGTCAGCTCCACGTAAGCGTCAACGGAAGCAGGCGTCTTTGGACGCCGACCAGTCTGCTCCTCGTCGATGAAGCGCCTACGCAGCTTGTCAGCGTAGGACTGCTGGTGCAGCCACAGCTTCCGCGCCGGACGGTCGCGCACGATTTCGAGCCCCAAATACTTCTCGACCAGGGTGATCTCGCGCAGCTCGAAAGCGGCCTCCAGCAGCTCCTTCAGCATCGCGGTGCTGCTGCTGGCGGCGAGGAGGTCGTCGACGTAGACGAGCACCCAGCACGCCACTTCGTCGTCGCCAACTCGGACATAGAGGGCCTCGTCGACCTGGCTCTTGCTCCAGCCGGCGCTAGTCAGCACAGCGTCGAGCGCCGAGTACCACAGCAGAGGACTCTGCTTCAGCCCGTACAAACTCTTCAGCAGCTTGCATACGCGTCCGGTACCATCGTTGTGGTAAGCCGGCTGATCCATGTAGAGCACGCGATCGAGCTTGCTCTGCAGAAACGCATTCTTCATGTCCAGCTCCATAAGGTGTAGATCGAGAACGGCGACGATGCTGAGAAAAATCCGCAGCGTGACGTAGCTCCCGACCGGTGCGTACGTCTCGTCGTAATCAGCTCCTTAGATCTGCGTGAAGCCTTTCACCACCAGGCGCGCCTTTTTGCGGGCAACCGTGTCGTCGACATGGTACTTCGTCGTCAGAACCCAGCGGTTCTTCATGACATTGACGCCGCGTGGGCGCTCCACTAGCTCCCAAGTGCCGTTGGTGATAAGACTTCGAATCTCCTCGTCCATCGCCGCTTTCACCGCCTTGCCCTTCCAGCTCGCTAACGCTTCCTTCACTGTCATGTTAGCGATGTCCCATCGATGCTCCGGGTCAGCGTGCATATCGGGATCGAGCTCGGGCACGTTGACGTCGGACTGCGCATCGTCGAGCAGAGTGCTGTAGGAGGACGGCGGGAGGCACGCATGGTAGCTCAGCCTCTCGGGAGGCTTGCCAAAGTTGGAGCGGGTGGAACATCGAACTGCAGGCTTGTCGGCAGAGACTTCCACCACGTCGCTCGATGTGCCATCGTCGGACTGCTCCCCTGTCGACAGCTCCTCTGAAACGCGCTCCCCGTTCGACGGCTCCCCTGTCGACGGCTCCTCTGTCGACGACTCCTCTAAATTGCGCTCCCCGTTCGACGGCTCCCCTGTTGGCGACTCCTCTGAAACGCGCTCCCCGTTCGCCGGCTCCCCTGTCGCCGACTCCTCTGAAACGCGCTCCCCGTTCGCCGGCTCCCCTGTCGCCGGCTCCTCTGAAACACGCTTCCCGTTCGACGTCTCCCCTGTCGGCGGAGACTTCACTCCGACGCCGACTTGCTCGCTGACCAGATCACGTCGACCGCCAGCGATGCCAATGGGCGGATCCGAAGGTGACGCACCAATGCTCCCCTCATCGCTGGCGGCCGACGTTGATGCCGACTTAGGCAAGCCGGCGGCGAGCGATGGGAGGGAGGTGGGAAGAGGCGGAGGAGCGTTCGAGGAGGGCGGAATGGAGGGAGCGGGATCATCTGACAGGTTGTCGTCCTCGGAGGCGAGCAACTCAATCGCCGCCGGCGATGGGCCCGTTAGAGGAGAGGCCTTCGTCCGCTCTGACGCCGGCCCATGCTCCTCCTTCCACTCCGCCAGAGACATCGTCTCGTAGAAGATGGCCTCCACGGTTGTGACAATGCAGTTGTCAGTGAGATCAAGCACCTCCCAGCCCTTGCTTTCCGACGAAACACCAAGGTGAATTCCCCAGCGTGCCTTTGGCGCCAACTTTCCGCGGCGCTGCTGCTCCGGGACCATGAACTGCACCATGCAGCCCCACACACGCGCCAGCGTAAGGTCCGGCTTCTGTTGGAACAGCAGCTCATACGGCGTCGTCCTCGGAGGAAGGGATGCCCGTTCGAGGCAGTTGCGCACCCAGACGGCGTGACGAAGAGCGAGGTGCCACCAGTGATGCTTCACCCCCATGTGAAGCAGCATCGTCCGCACAGATTCGACGACCGTCCGCATCTCCCGCTCCGCCATGCTAGCTGCGGAGTGTAGGGGCAGGTGAGGTTGTGGAGGATGCCCTTGTCCTCGACAAGTTCGGTGAATTTCCTGCCAAGAAATTCGCCTCCGCGATCCGAGCGCAACCTTTTCACCGTCGTCGAAGTCTGCCGCTCCACTTCCTTCAGCCACTTCTCGAAAACGACCAGCACGTCGCTCTTCTTCGCGATCGGGCGGACCCACACAAAGCGGGTCTTGCGGTCTTTGCGGAGGAGGAAGTAGAGGCTCCCATCTGCGGCGGCCACACGGAAGGGGCCACAGAGGTCAATGTGCACAACGTCAAGGGCGTTTGCAGCCTCTGATCCCATCTCTGGAAAAGTATGACGCGTCAGCTTGCCGCCGACACAAGAGGTACACGGCAAATCGGCTCCAGTTGACTTCGCAATGTCCAGACCGATGGCAACTTCATGCTTCGCCGAGCTCATAATCGTGTCGATGCCGACGTGCGCGAGCCTCGCGTGCCACTTAGCCGGCTTTGACTTCGTCGCCGAGGCGATCGTCCGCAGAGCAACTGCTTCTGTCGCAGATGTAGTCGATTTCGAGGAGCAGGGGCGGAGGTCGGTGCAGAGGACTCGGCCGGTGTAGCGTGCTCGACCGAGCACATCTCCTGCAGCGGAAACGAGCAGCATCTCGTCACCCTCGTTCTTCAGCTTCACACCGTTTTCCTCCAGCTGGCCAGCAGACAGCAGGTTCGCGTGCACGCCCGGAACGTACAACACGTCGGGGATGAGAATCTGCTTCCCAGTCTCCCCTTTCAGAGCAACTGTGCCACAGCCTTCGACGTTCAGAAGCGCCCCATTCAATCCGCGCACGTGACGGATTTCTCCTCCTGGCTTCATTTCGACGAAGGCCTCTCACGTTCCCATCAGATGATGGGAGCAGCCACTGTCGAGGAGAACCACAGTCGGATTCGCCTGCACGGCTGCTGCGACCGCCTGGAAGTCTTCGCCAGCCTCCGGCGCCAGCGAAATTGTTGGCTCGACCATGCCAACCATCGAACAAGAGGCTTCCTTTCTGCTCGAGGTACCAGCCTCTGATGTCGACGACGTTTTCGACGACGCAGGCTTCTCCTTCCGCGGCTTGTTGTCTCGACGCTGACGATCGTTGTCAGACTTACCGTCCTCTGATCGACGAGCGTTTTCTGACTTTCCACGGCTTCCTCAGCTGCGTTGCTAGCACATTCAGCTGCGTTGCTAGCACACTCAGCTGCGTTGCTAGCACACTCAGCTGCGTTGCTAACACACTTGGCTGCGTTGCTAGCACACTCGGCTGCGTTGCTAGCACACTCGGCTGCGTTGCTAGCACACTCGGCTGCGTTTCTAGCACACTCAGCTGCGTTGCTCGCACCCTCAGCTGCGTTGCTAGCACACTCAGCTGCGTTGCTAGCACACTCGGCTGCGTTGCTAGCACACTCGGCTGCGTTGCTAGCACACTCGGCTGCGTTGCTAGCACACTCAGCTGCGTTGCTAGCACACTCGGCTGCGTTGCTAGCACACTCGGCTGCATTGCTAGCACACTCGGCTGCGTTGCTAGCACACTCGGCTGCGTTTCTAGCACACTCAGCTGCGTTGCTCGCACCCTCAGCTGCGTTGCTAGCACACTCAGCTGCGTTGCTAGCACACTCAGCTGCGTTGCTAGCACACTTAGCTGCGTTGCTAGCACACTCAGCTGCGTTGCTAGCACACTCGGCTGCGTTGCTAGCACACTCGGCTGCGTTGCTAGCACACTCGGCTGCGTTGCTAGCACACTCGGCTGCGTTGCTAGCACACTCAGCTGCGTTGCTAGCACACTCAGCTGCGTTGCTAGCACACTCGGCTGCGTTGCTAGCACACTCGGCTGCATTGCTAGCACACTCGGCTGCGTTGCTAGCACACTCGGCTGCGTTTCTAGCACACTCAGCTGCGTTGCTCGCACCCTCAGCTGCGTTGCTAGCACACTCAGCTGCGTTGCTAGCACACTCAGCTGCGTTGCTAGCACACTTAGCTGCGTTGCTAGCACACTCAGCTGCGTTGCTAGCACACTCGGCTGCGTTGCTAGCACACTCGGCTGCGTTGCTAGCACACTCGGCTGCGTTGCTAGCACACTCGGCTGCGTTGCTAGCACACTCAGCTGCGTTGCTAGCACACTCAGCTGCGTTGCTAGCACTTGACCCTCACCATTTACGCCTCTCCCACTCTGCTCCCTCCCTAACGATTCCCTCCCACCTCCTCCCCGCCCACTCCCCTCCCCGGCTTATGGTTGCCACAGAGGGAGCTACTAGTGTACACCGTGACACGCTTGGACCGGCCCTTCTCTGCCTTCCACATCGACGCACACATGCCCATTCACTTCAAGGCACTGCCATCCTCTCTCTCGCTCTCTCCCTCTCCCTCTCTTCCTGTGTGCTTTGAGCCTTACAAGCACGGGTCCTTCCTGCCCTTTCTCTCTCCTCCTCTCGTTCTTTCTATCATCTGCTCTTGCTTGCGCCATCAGGTTCCCCATCAGGTTCCCCATCAGGTTCCCCCCCATCAGGTTCCCCCCCATCAGGTTCCCCCCCATCAGGTTCCCCCCCATCAGGTTCCCCCCCATCAGGTTCCCCCCCATCAGGTTCCCCCCCATCAGGTTCCCCCCCATCAGGTTCCCCCCCATCAGGTTCCCCATCAGGTTCCCCATCAGGTTCCCCATCAGGTTCCCCATCAGGTTCCCCATCAGGTTCCCCATCAGGTTCCTCATCAGGTTCCCCACTGCCTCCCTCGCCTAATGCCCGTCGTCACGTAGTAATGACATTTTCTGTCTTGAGAGTGTGTTTCGTTCTTACATCATCGTCTCTGCACTTGTGGATCTGCAAGGACTTTAACGCTTGCTGCTTGGACGTGGGACCCACTCACTCCTACCATGACCATCTCTTCATTTCCTATTCGGAAACCCCCTTCCACGTGCTCCTTCCGTTTTGCCTACATTCAGAACGCGTGGATGCGGAGAGAGCATCCCAGGACCCTTCCCTCCTACCAGCGATTCAACGCCACGCCAGACCAATGGGAGCGCGCCATGTGGCCTCTCACGCCAGGTGGCGCCATGTCAGCTGATGCGCTGGCGCTGATAGCAGCGGCGGACGTGATTGGCGAGAGGACGCACTGCCACATGGACGGCATGCTCAGGAACCGAGTGCAGGTGGGTGGGTGCGTGGGTGGGTGGGAGTGGGTCGAAGTGGGTACACGTGGTGTGATATGGGTGGTTGGTTGTGTGCATGGTTGGCACAGGGGATCCGTCTTTCCCCCGTGCCTCTCTATACCCTCCGCCTCTCTTCACTGCACTCCCCTTTCTCCCCTGACCTCACCCCTGCCCCCACTGCCATCACGCTTCTTCCCGCCCCAATTCACTTCGCCGCACTCCCCCGCCGCTCTCAGCTGCGCATGGCGGGGCTGGCAGCGCTGGACGTGATGCAGCGCGTGCGGCGCTCATGGGAGGCCATGGCCATGGCCATGGCACGGGCACAACGCGGGGAGCAGCAAGAGGGGCGAGAGGGGGAGGAGCGAGACGAAGAGCAGGAGGAAGGCGACGAGGAGTTGGGTGTCGGCTACAAGAGCGAGGGTGGGGACAGGATGGGCAGGGGGGAGCAAGGGAAGCTGCAGAGACCGCGGCTGCAGTCGCTGGTGAGGGAGGTGGAAGGCGAAGGGGGCAAGGGCGCAGTGGAGGGATGGAGGGACGTGTTTGATGTGGTGACTCGGTGGCGGCAGATCGCCAACCCCACCGACGCCACCTTCTGGAAGCACTCCCTGCTGTGAGTGCCATGCCCTCTGCCCCATCCACCCCCACCCACTGCCCCACCCACCCACCCAGTTCCCCTCCCTAAAGCCTACACCACGTATGTAACGGCCCAGGCTGGGGATTGCAACTCAGGTCAGGGATGGCATGGACACTACAAGGGCTTGCACGGACATGCAAGGGCTTGCAAGGGGTGGATGGAAAGCGGTGCTTTGGCTAGTCTCACACCCCTTCCTCTCCCTCCCTGCCTATCTTCCTTTCCTCGTGCAGGTCCCCAGAGCGTGTGGCAGTGCGGTCCACCACGCCCATCCACGTGTACAATTTCGAGACTGTCAAGTACTACCCCGTGCTCCACAGGTGCGTGGCTGGGTGGGTGCCTGGGAGGGTGGGTGCGCGGGTGGGTGAGTGGGTGGGTGGGTGGGTGGGTAGGTCCCCTTTCCTGCCCCTCACTCGCATGCTGCCACCCTTCCACCACACCCCTCCTGCTCCAGCTATATTGGAAACACCTTTGAGAATTTCCGCTTGTGAGTCGCGTTTGAGAATCCTCATAGGGACTTTCTCTTGTTTTTATGTACCTGTTGATTGCCCTCCCGTGCAGGGCAGTGGCCCTCACCAGAGCTACTCTCTTGGAGAATGAGGAGGCATTCGATGCCGATTATACTCGTTTTAGTGTGCCTCGCAGCAGCCATGGCAGCAAGGTTGGGACACCAAGAACCCTGCTTGCACTTCCAGTGAAATCTATAGGCTTACACTAAAGTCCCTGCTTGGAGTAGCTGTTCCCACACTGTCCGTCTGCTTTCCCGTCAGACCTCCCCTGACTGCCATAGCTGCACGCTCCTGCTGCACCATGCTTCCTACCATCTGGTGTCCCCTTGGTATCAGCTCTCTCCGTCTCGTCACATACACCATATCCATTGTGATTGAGCGCATGGCTGCACCGCATGCTGCTATGCTCCCTCATGCCTATACCCGTCTCAGCCCACCGCAGACCACCTCCATCTTTTATTCGCTCCCACCCCACACCCTCCTCTCCTGTGCGTCTCTCTCCCCGGCCATGCGCCTCGTGTGCCTGGCAGATAGAGGCGGCAAGGGACCTGCAAGAGCTGCATGCAGCAGTGGGGCGGGACTTCAGTGCGCTCACACTCATCCACAGTGCTCTGCACCCGCAGTGAGTTTTGAGGCGCCTCAAAAGTTGCAAGAGCTGCATGAAGCAGTGGGGCAGGAATCACTTTTGAGAATTCTCCAAAGTGATTCCCAAAGGGCAGGACTTCAGTGCGCTCACTCTCATCCACAGCGCCGCGGTGAGCCGCGCTGTGCTTTTGTGGCGTTTCAAAAGTCGCTCTGCACCCATGGCTGAAAGGCGGAGCCGCGTGATGGGCACCGATCCGCCTCACTCACTTGCCTCCTTGCCACCATCGTATAACCACACATGAACCCATTCCCCCATGTCTCGAAGGCTTCATATCCCCATGCCATGCCAGCCTCCCTTGCCTCGTCCTCTCGGCCTCTTCTCTCCCCCATACTCCCTGCTCGCAGGCAGCGCATTCCAGGGACAGAATTCCAAGTCAAGAGGACGTGAGTGCCCCCTCCTCGTTCTGCCTTCTCCTCCTTCTCTCCTTCTATTCCGCGTTCTTCTTGCCAGCTCGTTGCGTGCGAGTGGTTGATGGAGGTGCTGCTGTGACTGTGAGGTGCCGATGCTGTGCCTGACAGTGTGTGGTGCTGTGTGGTTCTGTGCGGTGCTGTGCGTGGCAGCAACCACTCCTACGACTTCTACACTGAGACTGTGATGGATGCAGACAGGTGGAGCAACTTCAATGCTGAGATGTCTGCAGCATGGCAGGTGAGTGCAGTACAGTGCGGTGTGGTGCAGTGCAGTGCAGTGCGGTGCAGTGGAATGCAGTGTGTACGGGAAGCTGAGGTTTGAGGTTCCTGTAGCAGCATGAATATTCCGCTTCCGTTCCCGCAACAGCATGTTCAATCCGTGGTCCACGTGAGAGCTGCAATCCGCGTATCAGCATCCCAATACCTTGTCTTGCCATTCCCTCTCCAATCCAATCCTTTCTCACGACTCTCTCTTCCCCTCTCTCTCCTCTCTCTCTCCCCCTCTCATTCCCCTCGCTCTCCCCCCTCTCTCCCCCCCTTTTCCGTGCTCTCACCCGCCCTCGCCAATCCATCCACAAGTCACTGTGCACGGCAGTGTTGGATGCGCGCACACAAACCCAGGACCCCCAGCTCTACCGCCACCGCATTCAGCACGCCATTCTCCGCCTCGCCTTCTTCTGGTGCGCCACACAAGCACAGCCACAACCACGCCTTCTTTTCATTTGCACCCTGTCTCCTCAACCCCACCCTCTTCTCGCCTTTCCTCAACACTCCCTTACCGTGTATCTCACCCACTCTCGCCCCAGCCAGGTAGGGACGATACCCTGGATGGATCCAAGTGGGAATTTCTAGATTCTTGTTTTGTTAATCTCTTTGGAGTCGAATGGAACGATCTCGATTTCAACGGAGTCCCCTACCGGCCCACGGTTGACCCCATCAGGTTCCAGGTGATGCCACTGACACGCGGGTCCGCCATGGGAGGGATGGTGGCGATCCTGGGCCTTAGCATGGCTGCTGACATGCAGACCACCGCTCTCATCCCCCCCAACATGCATGTGAGTCATGGGATGATGAGGCAGGGGATTGGGATGATGGGGTGATGGGGTGATGGCGTGATGAAATAAGGGATGGGATGATAGGATTCGTCTACTCCTAGCATGGCCACTGCTCACCAGCTTCTCAATGTGCCTCGGTCTCTACCACGAGTGCCGCTGACCTGTTCGCTCAGGGTTCGCTGCGTGCCCTCTATTTGTGTGTGAGCATGTGTGCGTTGTGTGCGTTGCGTGCGTTGTGTGCGCTTGTGTGTGTTGTGTATGTCTGTATGTGCGTTGCTGCTCCTACTGCCGCCTTACAGGTGGACTGGGAGGCACTGCTGAGCACAAGGCACGAGGACTTTGCAGCTCAGGTGCAGCCGTGGCTATACGCTGCAGTGCAGGCATCGCCATGGCATCTCCCCCTCGTGCACCAAGTGCTCTCCACACCACGCCTCGTGCTCGCTGCTCTCACTCACAGCCTCACCTTTGAGAGTGAAGTGAATTTAAATTAGTAGTGGTAGCGGTAGTGGCAGTGGTAGTATGTAGTAGTGAGAGATCCAATTCACGGCCATCACCAGTGGCCATAACCAGTCACGGTTGGTTATTCATTCAATCTTGACTGTAGCATGTTGTACCATGTTTGGTGCTTAGTTTTGCATTCAGGATACCGTAGCACTCAGGTTTTGCTGGAATGAAACTCACAACACAGTTGCATATGATTTCTCTTTTGTTGAGCAACATAATAGCGGAGCGTGCCACTTGAAAGGGTTCACGCGTGCCGCGTACGTCCGCCCCTCCCTCAAGCTGCTCTGCCCCGCCCATCCCGATGCCCCCTGCGCTTCCGTATCCTCTCCGCCTTTACTGTATAGCCACGTGCGCGGGTGGACGCCTAGGACTTGCCACGTGGCATCAGATGTCGCACTACGCTCTGCTGTCGCCTCCCGCCTCAGCCGCACCATCCTTCATCCGTCGTCCGCTTTTCTCGCCGCCCGCCTCTGTTTCCCCCGCGCCAATCCGCCAGCCATCCCCGCTTCCCCGGCCAGCACACGCCCAGGTCTTCTCCATTCCCCTCCCGCGCCTCGCCCCTTTTCCCGCGAACACAATTAAGCGGGAGCTAAACGTCAGCAATGGGGGGAGGCGCAGCAACGGCAGGGGCTGCTGCGGAGGGAGGGCGGTGAGATGCGCGGCTGGCGGGGCCCGGGGGAAAGGCGGGGGAAGAGGCGGGGCTGATGCGGTGTTTGATGAGTGGATGCGGACGGTGGCGGAAGGGGGAGGCGGGGACGTGGCATTGGCGCCTCTGGCGCGCAGAGATGGCGGAGCGGGGGAGGAGAAGGGCAGGGAGTGCGATGAGGGGTTAGCGCGGAGAGATGGCGAACGTGCGGGAGGTTTGGCGCGGGGTGATAGCGCAAGGGCGAGGCTGGGGGAAGGGGATGGCGACAGAAATGGTGACGCCAGAAGACACAATGATAGAAGCTGTGGTGTGGGGGATCATGGGGGAGGAAACGACGATGAGCGGGATGGGGAAGGCATGGAGGATTGGATGGGAGCAGAGAGCAGCGGACTTGGTGAGTTTGGTAGAGCAGATGGGGAAGCGGGGGACGGCGGGGAGGAAAGCTGGGACGGAGAGGGAGGGAGAGAAAGGGGGGAAGGCGGGGAGGGCGTGAGGTGGTTCGAGTGGAGGGAGTGTGTGGACGTTTTGAGGGCACAGATGGAGGGCAGGCAGCTGCAGTGGAACGAGAGGCGCAGGCGGTTCGAGCACACATGCACCGGGAGTGATGGTGACCGGGGCGCTGCTAACCCTGGCGGTAACTGTGGTGGCGGTGGCAGTGTGTTCTTCCTGGCTCCGCCACTGGTCCTCCTACCTCCCACGGCACCCCAATCACCCCAAGAGTGCGTCACACCGTACTGGGTAGGTCAGGTCCCTCCGATGCCAAACTGTTTCTCCAAAGGTTCCTTCTCCAGGGGTTGTCTTGCCTTGCAAGGGGTTCTCTGCAATCCCTGACCTCCCGTTCACGCGCCCCGCCACGTCTCCCCCTCCCCCTCAACCATCTCTGCAGGTACATCCGCTACCTCCTCTCTCGCCCCACCCTCTCCGCGCCCCCCGCTTCCCCCCCTCCCCCCTCCTCGTCCCCCCGCGCCCCCTCACTGGCGCTGGGGTCGCACATGGTGGCGCTGCTGTGCGCTGACTCTGCTGCCCTCGCCATCTTTCACCAAGGCACGCTCGCACAGCACAAGGTGAGCGCCCGTGCTTCATGCCTTGGGAAATCCTCTATCCGCCTGTGCTCCCATGCTCCCTGCATGCTCCCCACCCATCACCCTTTACTCTCCCACCTCTCCCGCAACTCCCCCCTCTCCCGCCTCCCCATCCCCTTCTCTCGCCCCCACCCCGCCCCTCCCCCCCAGGTGATAACAGCGTATACGGTGCGGGCGAAGCAGGGGCGGTCGCAGCTGGCGCAGCAGAGGGGCAAGGGCGCTGGGCGGATGAGTGCGGGGGCGGCCATCCGCGCACGGGAGACCCGCCGTCTCTTCTCCGAGGTCGTACAGGTCAGTCCGTCGCAGCCCAGTATGCAGCATGCACTCAAGCCGCCATCCTCTTCGGTGTCTGTATGCGTTCCTTCCAGTCCTGCTCTCTCCACGCTGCCATAGCCTCACATGCACCTGCTCTCATCTCATCTCTGCGCTCGGCCCACCCCTGCCACCTGCTGCATCTCCTTCATTTGCCTAGTGCTACCGTCTACCGTGTTTTAACAAGTCGCTGAGCTCATGTCTCCATTTGCCATGTGGCTGTTGTGCTGGTGCGGCGGTGGCAGCGCTGTGTGGTATGGGAGGCGGACATCAGGCAGTGCGAGCTGCTCTTCTTCAGTGGAGACGTGCGCGCCTGGAATGAGGTGCGTGCGCTTGGAATGAGAGGGCGAGCGCCGTTTGCTTGTGAGAGAGGCGGGAACCTGCAGCTCCCACCTGCAGCTCCCACCTGCAGTGCCTACCTACAGTGCCTACCTCCAGTGCCTACCTCCAGTCCCTACCTCCAGTCCCTACCTCCAGTCCCTACCTCCAGTCCCTACCTCCAGTCCCTACCTCCAGTCCCTACCTCCAGTCCCTACCTCCAGTCCCTACCTCCAGTGCCTACCTCCAGTCCCTACCTCCAGTCCCTACCTCCAGTCCCTACCTCCAGTCCCTACCTCCAGTCCCTACCTCCAGTCCCTACCTCCAGTCCCTACCTCCAGTCCCTACCTCCAGTCCCTACATGCACTATACATAACTTTGTTAAACCATGCCACAGTGCTCTTTCCTCCCGTGCTTCAAGCCACGTCATGTTCCCTCGCACCCCACTCCACCCCATGCACCACCACACCCTGCCATGCCCCATCACGCCCCACTTTTCCTCCCTGCCCCACCGCACCCCCTCGTGCGATGCAGGTGTATGCATGCCGTGCGCCCGCCATGCCAGTGGACCGCAAGGACGAGCGGTGGGTGAAGGTGCCCTTCCACGTCGCCCGCCCCCGCCTCTCACAAGTGCTCCAGTGAGTCGCACTTGCGGGATAGGTGGTGGGAGGGTGGTGGGATGGTTGGCATTTTCCTTTCTCCTTCTTTCCTTTTGCCCTGTGCCATGCCCCATGCCGCAAAAAATCCCTGCGCTCTCCCTCCTCCGAACCCATCTCATCCCCTCCTCTACTCGCTCTCCTGCCACGTGTAGTGTCTTTCACCGCCTCAGCCACGGGTGCTATGGAATGGAGCCCAGATGACAGCAAGGTTGGCCCAAGTGGCCCACAGCACACACTTCAGCTTCGTCACAGGCACTTGAGTCAATCCCAGCAATCACACTGTTGGATGGTACGGTAGCAGTAGCAGCAGTGGTGCTGGGTACCGTAAGTGGGCACGTTGATGTAAGGGAGTCATGGACGACGTTGGCTTACGGTGAGAGGAAGCATTCACTTCAACCTAACGGAATGCAGGGCAGCAGCTTTGGTACGGAATCACTCGTTCTTTGATGATGAGCCAATAAGCATCGATATGCCCAACAGTAACAGGTGCATTTTGAGCATATGTACTCAATTTATATTACTTCAAGCAACACATGAAAACCTGTCTCAGAAACAACACTAATCTAAAGTGGTCTCCCATACAACAGCAAGAGCCCATTCGACGCATCTGGACACCTGCCAAACGGGAGCTCCGGGTCAGAGTCATTGAACGGCGGCCCTCCCACAAGCAGCCCCCCGCCAGGGCACTGGTGCGGCTGGGGTGGGTGGTGATAGCACGGCTCCAAGGGTGCTGCCTGGCAGGTCTTGGCAACAAAGAAGGAGGGGCGGGCAAAGAGCGACGCGAGGAGGTATCCAAAGGTGGAGGCGGGGAAGACGAGGATAGCGTCAGAGGCGAGGGCGACGGTGTAGATGTCTATGATGGCGTGCTGTAGCTCTGTGTCGAGGCCGGTCTGAGATGTCTCTGTGGTGAGACGGTCCAGGGAGAAGGTGCCGCTGCTGATTATGGTGCTGTTGCTGATGCTGCTGCTGCTGGCGGGGATGCTCGTGACGGTGCTCACTGGGGTGGGATCCGCGGCAGCCTCGCTGCTGCTGTTGATGTTGCTGCTGCTGTTGGTGGCGATGGCAGTGGTGGTAGTGGTCTCTGTACTGGTGGGGATTGCAGCACTGGTGCTGCTGTCAGTAGTAGCGTTGTTTGGGCTGTCCGTGACAACAATCTTGGTGTATGTGAGAGGGGAGGACGAAGCATTGGGGAAGAGCAGCAGGGAGAGGTTGTACGGAGCGAACTCATTCAGAGCAGCAATGAGCACAACGGTCGAGCTGCCCGATGTACTCACACCCCCTCCACTGTCACTCGTGCTGCCACTCTCTCCGCCAACAGCAGCAGCAGCGGCAGCAGCAGCAGCAGTAGGCGCGCCCCCTACTTCTAAAGCCCGAGCAATTGCAAGAGCAGCAGTAGTGCCTTCCTCAGATGCCACACCCATTCCATACGCCGTCGCTTCCCCCGTCCCATTCACTATCCCTCCTCTGCCCACCGCTGCACCACCCTCACCCGCTCCCCCCACACCTCCTCCCACTGCCCCCACCCCACCAGGCTCTCCCCTAGCCTCTCCCCCCCCCTCCCCTTTCTCCCTCTCTCGTCGCGCCTGCGCCACTGCATCCCCCTCCATGACTTGCACGATGCACTCTGCGGCCTGCGACATAATCCCCTCGCTACTCTGCCGCAGCTGCAGCCCCACCCTGGCCGCGGCCGGCGCCGCCCGGCGGTGAATGTTGTCCGTTATGGCCGCCCAGAGGCGGTTGTTGGGGAACATGATGAGCTGGGAAACGGTCTGGAAGATGCGGCCAGAGGGGAAGAGGTCACGGATATGGCGGCGGAAGGAGGGGTGGTAGAATAAGGCCGGGAGGAAGTATTGATTGGCGCGGAGCAGGAGAGAGGGCACGCGTGCAAGCCATTGCTGCTCGCACTCGCAGAAAAAGATGCTTGTGTTGGCCACGTTGTGCTGTAGGTTTATGTTGGCTCTGATTGGGGAGAGACGGGGAGCGGGGTGGGTGGATGTGCATGGAGGTACAGGGGGAGAAGATGGGAGGATCAGTAGGAAATGGATGGGGATGGTGGGGATGGTATGAGGACACGGGGGATTTGGGGAGCGAAGAATTGAGAATGGGGAATGGCAGGGGGACACGAGGGATGGAGACTGGAGTCAAGCGGAGGGGAACGGGAATGGGCGTGGGGAGAGGCGACAGGTTGGGAGTGGAGCAAGCACAGTGACAGTGAGGAGGGGAAGAAGGTGGGGGAAGGGAGGGGAAGAAAGGGAGGCAGAGGCACTCGCACGCACACATTGGGTACGGGCATGGCGTCACTGGTGCCGTTCTGAAGGGCCTTGACTCGCTCTTGAAAGTACGGATACGCGATCTTTATATGCAGCACCTCCGCGTCCCACAGCTCGCCCTTCACGTCTGAGAACACAAACCACGGCGCGCCCTCGAACGGCTGACACATCAGCTTCCCCGGACCGCGCTCCGTTAGCAGCAGAAACACCCGGTTCGTTAGCAGCGCGTATACAAACGCGGACACGAGGGAGATGTACTGGTTGCCCTGCCCGTCCCCGGGGCTGAAGTGCCAGAGCAGGTACTTGCACTCTGTCGCGTTCCCCACGCGCAGCTTCGTCTTTAAAGACGTGATGTTTTCCTTCGCGTCGCAGTCGCGACGGTACTCGTGATACGCGCGCAGCTTGCGCTTGAGCGTCTCGGACCGCTCCGCCATGCCATGGCTGCCCGTGTAGCACGGGATCTCCGCCTTGCTCCAGCACAGGTGCGGCGGGCGGTGGTACCGGTGTGTATGGTCAGCGGAGCGCCCGAGAGGCGAGTGTAGCGGGTCCGACGAGTCGCACTCTGGAACGGGAGGGGGAGCGCGCGGGGAGGATAAAAAGGAGGGACAGGGATGGGGAGGGGGAGGGACGGGGCGACGGGGGAGGGAGAGTTAGAAGAGGAGGCGCGGGACACGCGATCGTGATGTGGATGATATTTGCGAATGCGGGTGCTACAAAGGAAGGGAACGAGGAACGAAAGGGGGAGCGAGTGATTCTGGATTGGCACAGACGGTTCAATGGTAGCCCTTGGATGAGTGCGCAGTCGATCCGCACCGTGCAGCGTCGGGGCGTCGGTGGACGGCGCGACTGGTTGAATAGGTCCCAGAGCGATTGCCGCGACTAGCGACAGCAGCGCCACGCCGTGGCTCCGCGCGCGAAACGCGCCGACGCTACCGCGGCCTCGCGAGCCGGTCATTCAGCACGCGGGGAGCGGGATTGGGCAACGCGGGGGATGCGGAACGGACGGAGCGGGCCGACGAAGGCACCCTGAACGACAGGAGGAGGTTAGAGGTAGAGTTGAGGTGACCGTTGATTGCGGGCCGGCGACTTCGCATCATACAGCTTGTACGAAGTCTGAAATCCACTGCTGAAAGGGGGGATGCGATGTGATGCGATGGTGATGGGTAGTTGGGGGTCGTGGTGTTGCTGAGCCTGAGAGGATGGCGAAGTCGACGAGGGTGGCGAAGATCAAAGTTAGCTGGCGAAAGATGACTTTACGGGAAGGACTAGATCGCGACTGTTCTCCACCATGTGTGTATTTTACTGTTACGAGTCCAATTGAGCGAGCCAGCTAGAATTGCACTATCTAAGCAACATGTAAGGGATTTTCTCACTATTCCTTACCGCGACCGTCCACATCGCGTACAGCAGCAGCCGTTGTTCGCCCGTTACTGCTAACGGGGCTTCGCCAACTTCGCGCGCACTGTTTCACCAAACCTCGCACTGCTGGAGCAGCCGAGTCGGCCTACGCTTCGGGACTAGCCCGAACCTCGCGACAGCGTAGCACTAGCTGGCTCGCACGCACCGCATTACCGTTTGCACATTTTCGAGTATAAGTATTCGCTCATGCCTTAGCTCATATTTTGTACTCATTGAACACTCTAGTGCAATCCTCGCTACCTAGATTCATTGCACCCGTAACACATAGCCATGACTTAGGGTACATTCCGCGCTGGACATGTCCCAATCGAAAGTGTCCCAATCGTTTCTACCGCACTGCATCGTATTACACCAAATTGCACCCTCGTTTCGAAATTTTCGCGTCTCTGGTTTAGTTCGGTTCGGAGCGGTACACTCGATTGGGACACATCGATTGGGACAGTGTCCACAGCGGAATGTACCCTTAGTGTTAGCATTTTTTTTTAGGTATAGTTATTTTTGTTAGTCTAGTGGTTTTTTGCTCTTGTTAGCGCATCATGCTCATGAGGTTTCTTCGCATTCCTCATCAGCAGGGCTCTTGCTAACTTTTAGGCCCGTCTGACGTTTTCCATGAAAAAAAAAAAATCGTATGGCCCTCATATGGAGGATTCCTGGTGGTCTTTGCCTCAGACGGATTTTATAAGTTAGTATGTCGGCTCAGACAGATTTTCGCGAAATCAGACATTTATTTAGTTATATAGTCTTCACACAGACTACACTCTACTCTACTCTATTACTACAGTTAACCATACATTCATATTGAACTAGGATTCACTATCGCTATCATGAGAAGAATATTCCTCGTCGTCCCCGTCTAGCTCTGAATCTGAAGCAATGTGCTCTTTGCCATGGTCTGCCCGTCTCTGCCAGGGGCCCAACTCCTCCTCTAGCCTGGCTGCTTCTTCTGCAGCTGCTGCTTCACGAGCAGCAGCCTCTGCTGCTGCTGCTGCTGTTGCTGCCGCCTGCTTCGCGGCCAACATCGCAAGGGTCTTCCTCGTGCGCTTCACAGGCCTTTGCGCATGCACCATCACGACATCCTTGGCTGGGCGTCTCTTCTTCGCACCTCTCCACAGCTCTACAAGGGCGGGCCAGTTAGGTTCGTACTTCAGCATGGAGATGGTCATCAGGTCGCCAAGCTTTGCGTCGTTGAGATTGCCGCGTAGCCAGCTCTTGATGACGTTATGGCGGGAGAAGCCCCGCTCGCACTCCACGGTGCTCAGGGGCAGCACTGCGACCGCCATCCAAAGGCGGACCA